AAACATCCCTCCCCAAACCCCCCAAACACACATATCTGTTAGCATTGAGTTGACTTTTACATACACTGACATGCATTTCAGAGTAGAGCTATTTCATAAGCCTTTCCTGGCTATAATACTAATATATAAAACAGCTCAGTGTACCATGGGATCTCTGAGTGGGTTCAAACTTCTAAGTTTTAGGATAGTAGTTAAGCATTGTTTGTGACACGTAGGAAATTCCCCCTTCCTTTCTCTCTTTCTCCCTTTCTCCATCTCTCTCTCTCTCTCTCCCTCTCCCTCCCTCTTTCCGCTTGTTTTCCTTTTCCTTGTGTACTGTGAGTAAGGTCTGACTGACACAGGAGGAGATTGCCCCTCCTTCTGCAGCAAAGCATTTGGTGGATTCGAAACATGTATCGAGATTCCAGCGCAGTTTCTTGCCACTAGGCCACCAGAGCTCCCTGGATTTTCATTTTTCTGTACAGCTATCATCCTGCCTTTAACAGCTCCAGAAGGATGATTTTTCCATAGTTTATTTTCCATAGACTTATTAGTGTACTTGACCTCTCCAATTTTATGTTATACAGTGTTTCTTATGATGTTGCATTTTTTTTGGATGTTATCTTTGAAATTTTATTTCAGACAAAGAAAAATGATGTTGCATTTTTAAGACTATCAGTTACCTTAATTTTTGGTTATGTTTGTCTACAAATACTATTATTTTTGTTTAGCAGCAGCACATGCTTTGGACTATGCAACCTATGTGTTTAGGTGCCATCAAGTCAACTATGACTCGTAGCAACCCTGTAAACCTTACCCTCTGTTCTACCTTCATCATCTCTGTCTTAAGTGCGTTGTGGTGCTCACTGTGTTAATCAGTCTCTTTTACCTTTCTCAGCGTGTTATCGCTTTCCAAACACTGATATCGCCTGAAACGTGCCTAACGTAAGTGAGATGAAGTTTCTTCACCCTTGCCTCTCAAGAGCACTCGAGTTGCACTTCTTTAAAGATTGATTGATTGTTCTTTTGGCAGCCCATGGCATATTCAGTACATTTTTCTAACACTGCAGTTAAAGACATTAACTCTTTTTCTGTCATTCTTATTCATTGTCCAATTTTCAGATGCATAGAAAGCGGCTGAAAATATCGTGACTTGGATCAGGCACTCCCTACTCTTTACACTGACTACATGACTCTTTAGAACTTTGGCGAGGTTCTTGACACCAGTTTTTCCCAGTGTAACGTATTTTTTTAAATTTTTTTTTTAGTATAACATATTTTTTAATTGCTTGACTGTTGCAACTCTGTTTTTTTTTTAATTTTTAAATTATTGTGGCTTTTTAAAATTTATACTAGTTTATTTTCAAACTCTGGGTTTTGATTGTGGATCCAAGTAAAATGAAATTATTGACGTTTCAGCCTTTTCTCCATCAGTCATGATTGTTGCCTATTGTTCACTGGTGAGGATTTTTGTTTTCTTGGTGTTGAGATGCAATTTATATTGAAAGCTGTAGTCTTTGATGTTCTGCAATAAATGCTTTTAGTTGTCTTTATTTTCCCAAGCCAGGTTTGAGTCATTTGGATAAGGCAGGTCTTTGAAGACTCCTCTAATCCTAATTTATCTTAATATAGTCACCTTTTTGAATGATTTGCTCAGTGTATAGATTGTAATCCTACATTTTTTTAGTGACAGATTTTTAGCACATTAATGAAATTTGGTAACTAATTTGCACTGAACAACAAAGTACTTAAAAAAAATCATCTTTTAGGTAACTCAAACCCTAAAAGATTAAGTGTACTTATTCTTGTTATCTTCCTTTGCTGATGGAGATTACGCCTGTTTAGGATTATGCCATGTTTGAGTTCTCTCACATCCTTTTTTCCCTCTTACTTTTAAAAAAAATGTTGTTGTGGTGTACTGTTAAATCAGATCTGGCTGGCATAGGAGAAGATTGCCCCTCCTTCTCCAGCAGAGTGTCTGGTGGATTTGAACCACGTACCTTCCATATTGCAGCACAGCTTCTTGCCACCAGAGCTCCCTCTTCCATATCTATTCTTATAAAGGGGTAACATTTCATTAAGTAAGCTTTTGGTGAATGTTTGCACCACTA